GCTTGCACGCATGCCATTGCTCGGCCGTCTTGGCGCTTTTGCGAACATGCCTAGGTCAGTCCTGAGACATTCGGATTGCCAACATGGACAGGCTCGGAGGCGGAATGCTGGTTGCTGTCAAGGTCCTAGCTTGCGTTGTTTGCATGGGTGCGCATTTCGATTGACTCGACGGGTGCTAGCAACGGTTCTAAGCTTGGTCTGCGGCTGAACCGTGGAAGAATAGCATCACACAAGCTATTGTACACTCCGCCAGCACTCAGCCATATGACAAAATGTGGACTTGACTGCACTTGCACAAAACATGCCAAAGCACCACTTTGTCCTTGCCGTAGGTGTAAGAAGCTTGGCCCCACATGCATGTGGCTGAAGGGTTGATGGTAAAGGATTTTCGCAGGTGCGAGTGCGATCTCGAAAAGCCATAGATGCTCGTTGCTAGTGACAAGTGGAAGGTACCCCATATCCTCGAAATTTGGACCAAAGCTCCTCGACCTGAGGCTCACCGGAGCCGGAAGACAAACATTGCAAGTGCTTGTGACGCAACTGGCCATTGGGCCGACTTGGCCAGGACAGGAAGCTGGACAAAGAAGCACACACAACCAGCTCTGCCCACAGTACCCGAGTGCCAAACCGTTCCAAGTGGTCAGCAGCTTGCCTTCCGAATAGACGGCAAACATCGGGGAGATTCTTGCTCGCAAGACCTTGGCGTGAGGCAATTCTCAAAACGGTTCTTGAATTTCGTGCTTTCATTGTTTTGTCTCCGTACGAATTCGGAGTTTCCTCGTATCGTTACGTCAGTTCTTGGAGGTTGCAGCCGAGACAATTAAACTTATCGGTTCCGGGTCTTCCACCAGGTACGCCAATGTCACAAAACTCTCTAGCATCCCAGCCTGACACTCTAGACGGCCCTGTTTCGAGATAGTCGCCCATATAGTCACCCGCATAGTACTCTCATGGTATACCTTTGCCTCATAACATAATATAGTAATAGAATACAACATAGTATCATAACCCCAAAAGCTTCAAAGACCTGAAAGTCCTGGGGCCGCGTCCTCCTTGGCATAGTGCTTGCAGGACTCGTTCTCGTTCCCAACGATCTTTAAGAAGGTCGTGTCTTTGTAGACTTTCGCGTACTTCTCATATCTAGGAAGGAACGCCTGGCTGTGGCTAGGCTTTCAGGCTTAAGTGAGTGGGGGCGAGGCACTCATGACCACAGAACGTAATATAGAGCTATTGAGGGGCCCAAGGGCACCAGCAAGGCAATACACATCACTCCTGCATAAGCCAGGTTGACTAAATCATGCTTAGTTACTAGTTGTTGCTTGCATGTTACGGATGTGCTTGCACTGAACACATAACATGTTGATCGGTCGGAGTCAGAGCAACAAGTAGAAAGCAAACAACATGTTCGGTCCGACACCTGAGGAGCTAAACTTCACCTCGAAACCGAAAAGCCTCAAACCTGAAACTATCCATCCAGCTGTGATCCCCTACATAGCACCTTCTACCATCTCCCTCTTCCCAGCCTTACACGGCCTGCACCAGGTGAAGGCCAGCTTCACTACCTGACATCTCGATTTTTGGCTGAGGAGCATTACTCGGAATGGAGGGAATCATAACGGCGGATAGGCGTAGCAGAAAGAGTAGAAGCGACAGGTTGGTAGGAAGAGCCAGGGTGAAAGTAGATGCTGATCATGACGAGGCTGATGAGGCGCAGGATGCTGATAGGTCCGGCAGGATGTGGCGTTTGGAGTGCTAGAGGTTAAGCACCATGGAACGTTTACTGTCTTGGCGCTCCGAAGCGCAGAGCTAGGGGAATGCGGATGCCGACTGGTGTAGCAGGCGAAGCCTAAACTGCACCGGCAACTGCTTTGCCAAACTGTCTTGCATCTTGAACATCCATTTCCATTGACCCAGAACCACTGCCTTACAGGGCCAGCAGCTCCTCTGCAGAGCCGGGCCGGGCTCTCAAAATCACTGGGGAACCCGGCAACATCCTTTCCCGAAGCGACGATGGCATCCAACTCCGCCTCGCTATGGACCTGTCAGATCCGCTGTCTTACGCGCCCAGCCGCTCAGAAGCCTTGACAAGTCACGAGCCTTTAAAACTCTTGTAAACTCTATAACATGACTGCCTGACGAAATCGAGTCCATGTAAGAGCTGGTGGGAATCTTTGGAAAGCCGGGAATTACCCATGGCTAGCGAAATTGTAGTTGCACCCACGTTCCCTTCGTGCCTGTAGGGTTTCGGAGTTGTAGGGTTGAATAGGGATTAGGGCTTCTTACTTCCGTAGTTCCGTAGAGGCTTTAGTTAGAGCAGAAGCCCTGTAGAAAGCCGTATTCTGAGACATCTGATAAGGAACCAAAACTTACACGAAGAAACCGTGAGGCGCCGTGGTGATGTGGCCCAGCATGCCGTCCGCAGCCTCATCTGAGGCCTCGGGACTTTGCAAAAAGGGGTAGCGAAACAACGAACCGATAATGCTAGTGAAAGATTGGACATACACATGATTGCTGGGACTTATGCCGCTTGATTATCACCTACAAATGCATTTTGGTAGACGGTCGACGCGTTCGGTTCACGGGTGCTCTCGAAGGCTGCAAGCCGAAACTACCGCAAGGTGTGCTTCGGGCTGGCAACTGGCATGGAAAGGGCTTCAGGATCTTAGCGATCTGGATGGAGGTTCTGCACTCGAGCCACTCTACTTTGTAAGCGGCGTCTTCGCAGATCGGAATGAACATCCTGCCCGATGTACAGGTCTTTGTCAAACCCTCCAAAAGGGTTGGCTACTACTACTAACTACTACTACCACGACCACGACCACTACCACTACCACTGCCACTGCCACAGCGACTGGTACTGACTGCTACAACTCCTGCTCCTGCTCCTGCT